AATAAAAAAAATGTTATTCTGTTAATTGTTGTCGCTGTTTAAGCAGCATTTAAAAAAAAAAAAAAAACATCACCCCAGATCCACAGTATCGTCCGAGCTGCGGAGACTTGACGTCGGCGCCGTCGTACAGCTCCACGTAGTCGTAGCCGCAGTTGGCCTCCCCCTCGATCTCAAACACTTGGAAGATGATCTCCACGCCGTAGCCCTTCTCCGCAGTGACCACCCACAGGCAGTCGGAGCCACCGGGGTAGTTGTTATCTCCAAACTGAGCATGAGAGAACAGATCCTTTGTCTTGACCTCGGCTCTCAGGCTTCCTCCACATCCTGGTGAAGGCACCACCACAAAATTAGAGGGTCAGAATGAGGAACTCGTTAAAGTGAGGAAAGAATGTCGATTTTTGGGCAACAGACGACGGAGAAGGAACCCATTCTTCAAATACCACATATTTAGAAGTCTACGCTCTCCTCGAGGGACATTCTTTTTTCTTTTTTTTCTTCCAATTAATTGACATATTTTCGGGGAGGCTGCTTCACCCACCTGCTCCGTATGAAACCTCAAAGCCTCTCTTCTGCACCGAGTTGTCTGAGTAAAACCTCAGGAACATCTTGTCGCCACTAGAAATGAGCGGCGACGGTTTCTTGGTGCCACAGAAGCGACCGAGACTCGGAGCGTGGGCGTCCTGTCCGTCGTGGACCTCCAAGTGGTCGTAGGCGCACTCCTGGTGAGACTCCATGTCGATCTCGTTGAAAACCTCGAAAGAAAAAAATAAAATAAAATTAGAGAGTGGAATAAAGTCTCCAAAACCAAATGAGCCACTCGACAAAATACATCAAGAATAAAAAAGAAAGAGAAAAAAGGTGACGATAACAGATTCATGTACAGAGAGAATTCAACTGGGAGAAGGAACCTGTGAAAATAAAAACCATAAAGAATTTCCCCAGAAAAATAAAGGTATTGACAAATATAATTTGTGGGTAGAGTACTACAGTACTGCAGTACTACAGTACTCTAACCCAACATGGAGAACACAGGATGGACCAACTGTTGACGAGCTGCAGATAAGTGACAATGTTTATTTACAATAGGGACGGAATCCAATGGATGGTGATGGAAAAACTGTATCGTTACATCCCTAATATTTATACTTTATACTTTTTATTTTCTCTTTCTGTCCATGAAAATAGACGTCACTTCATTTAACACTGGGACAAATGGGAATTTTATATAAAATCTTTATGACCTTTGACTTTATGAAATGATGTACATTTTTTTATTAAAGTAACTAATTTTTTATGTAATTTATGTATGTATATATACATATATATGTATATATATGTATATATATATACATATATAAAGTATGTGTATATATATGTATATATGTATGGTGAAAATAGATGGATGGATGGGTGTATGTATATGTATGTGTGTATATATATATATATATATATATATATATCAACACTCACCAAACATTTTGTTTCATGGATTAAACATTGAAAAAATGTAAATATGTAAATTCATTGACAAGTAGAGGATCTTTAATATATATGAATATATGAAATCAAATCCCATCTTAAAAAATAGAGATTGAAATAAAGAAAACTAAACTAAAAATAAATATAATATATAAAGAATTGTCGAGGAATGGTTATATATTTTGGACGAGCAGAGAAACTGACATACAAGTTTGATGCGGTGGCCCGGGGTGGTGGACAGGGCCCAGCTGCAGGACTTCTTGCTGGGATACTGGTCAGGCCAGTTAGGGCTGCTGATGGTGCCTGACACACTGCTGATAACATGGTCACAGCCGGCTGGTGAAAAAGATAGAGAGAGGAAGAGGGAGAGAGAGAGAGAGAGCAGATCAGCGCCTCCCAGTGTTTCCTCCATGGAAAGTGATAAAAATAAACAAAAACAAGAGCGTTTCATCATCCAAACACTGAGGTTTGTTCCTCAGGAGATGTTTCTACTCTGAGGTCTGTGGTGGGAAAAAAAAAAGAGCGTAAAAATAAGCTCCTGAGAGATGAGCGCCACCAACTGTCCCACAGTCATGAGTGTCGGTGACAAAGTCAAGATGGAGGAGGAGGAAATAGGCTGTCTCTGGGATTTTCCTCAGTTCAAATGTGAATGAGGGACTGTTGCTATGTGACAGGAGAAGAAATCAGTCAACAGTACTGAGTACTGGGATAATACTGGAGTACTTTTGTTTCCCCTGAAATTTCAGGAAAGAAATAAACAAACAAATGGTAGTACTGGGATAATACTGGAGTACTTTTTCCCCCTGATATTTCAGGGGAAAGTGAAATTAATTTTTGAAAAATATATTTACTTTTTGAACACCCATTTGAACTAGGTTTAGTTATGACAAGGGTATAATTTGAGCTCCAGTTCAGGGGTCACTAAGGTCGTGCACGGGGTCACCTGGTAACCCCCTCCCCCCCCGTGGACTACGTAAGGTGTATGTTCTAAAAATGAACCTAGTCAACAAGAGGGTCAAAAATGGTACTGTTACTTTAAATCAGTTCCATTACAGTGGTATTCAAACAGGTTCGATGACGACGGTGAGAAGAACGAATTATTATGACATTGGTCGGGAAGTCAAAGGAGTAGTTCTTCATATTACTGAGTGACCTTTCAAAAAGGTCGGTGACCCCTAGACTGGTTCATATACTGTACGTCTTCTTGTTAGTGTTTATAAATATGTTTATGTTTAAATGTTCTATTAATTGTGCGTGGTATGTTTCAGATTTATTCAACTGAAAATATAAATGTGAAAATATGAACTTTCCCCGCGCACCACTAGAGAGCGCTTGTGTATCACCGGTGGTACGTGTACCACAGTTTGAGAACCACTGACTCTTTAAACTCTCAATTAAAAAAAAAATTCTCTAGAAACAGTTACCATGACTACAGTAAACAACAACCACACACACACATACCTGCCTCAGGTCAGATGACTGGACTACAACTGGGACATGGACGTGGACATACAGAGACACTCAGTCACACAAAGCAGCAGAGGTTTATCACCATAACTAACAACAACCACAACTAGTAAAAAAAAAAACAAAACAAAAAAACAACAACGACACAATGAGACTTTTCTTAGTTGAGTTGAAGCAGCGTCTCTGTGTGGCCCGAGGTATTTAGACCCAAACGCAGAGGGACAGTCGAGACAGTGACGGTATTTGTGCAGTACCTTCTTTGCAGTCGTGCTTGTTGTCGTGCAGCACGAAGCCTTCGCGGCACTGACAGCTGTAGCTCCCGAAGGTGTTGACGCACTCGTGCTGACAACCTCCGTTCTCCTTGGAGCACTCGTCCATGTCTGTGGACGTCAAGGCTCAAATTAATCACATGATGTTTTCGCAGACAGACAGAAAACTGGTCTGGGATCAGACGGACCGGACGTACATGTTGTCACAAAGTTCAGTTTTTCCACGTTTCAGATAAATACAAACCACACTGGTCTCATTCATGTGGTTCAAAGTGAAGACAGTTGTCTGCAGCGTCTCTGTTGGGGAGCCATGGTTTTACACTGCGGCCATGTTGCCCCCCCCCCCCACACACACACACCCCCAGTTTTGTTGTGAAGTACCATACAAATAGCATGTTAATAAACAAAAGTCTTTAGATGCAACAACATCAAGGAAATATATATGTCCATATATGTAAGTAATACATGCAACGTAAAAAGAAAAAGAAAATCACAAAAACAGACAGAAAGAAAACAGAGTGGAGTTTTGACAGCAACAAAGGTCGACTGAATGTGGAATCTAATGACTGAATTTTTATGACGGTGTATTTATTAGTATATATATATATACTAATATTTAAATATATATATACAAATCTATATACAAAAAAATAATAAACTTTAATATGTCATTTTTAAGGTCCATTATATTCACTGGCAGAAACACTGCCCTCTGTCAGGTATTTTTTTAATTTTTTTTTTTTAAATAACATCAACTCAGTTTCTGAAGTTTAACGCTGTCATTCAAACTGTGTTCCCAGTATTCATTAAAAAGCTAAATGCTAAGTGTTTACAGATGCTAACACAAAAGCGTTACATAATTTCACGCACCATTGACCAGCCTTTTTCTTTTCTCTTTTTTTCTTTTTCCTTCACAGCCGACTCACCAGAGAAGAAGTGGGCCTTGAAGCCTCTCTTTGACACCGTGTTGTCTGACTTGAACTCGATCCTCATGTTGTTGTGGACTGAGGTGATGACGTCCGGCTTCTCCACGCCGCAGAACTTCCCGTGAAGCGTTGAGTCGGAACTCAACCCGCTGCGCACCTCCACGTAGTCGTATTTACACACCTGATGGAAAAAAACACACGTCACATTGACGTCACAGTTGGCCATGAAATCTGTAGCTTCTGCACAAACTCACGTCATTTCCTTCGGTCTCAAACATATCGAACACCAGGGTGATGCGGTACTGGATGGGAGCCACCAGCTGCCATACGCAGTTCTTGTTGGGTGGGTACTCCTTGGGCCAGCCTGGGGTGGTGAGGGAACCGTTCAGCACGGTGATGAAGCCACCGCAGGCAGCTGCTGGTGGGAGAAAGCAGTGATTTTAGTGGTACGAGTGTGAAAGACAAAACACTCGCGACACATAAATTACACAGAAAACCATGAGTGAATTATTTAGCCCTGTATTTTTTCCTTTGTTGACTGAAGAAGAAGTCATTTGAAACTGAAGTGGTGGAATTTTAATGTACCTGCAGCGTGAGTCAAAAATGTCGGGGAAATGCAGTGCATGTTGATAGAAGACAAAATAAATGAAAGGAAGAAAGGTAGGTAGAAGAGTTAAGATGGTCTATAAGTTACAACTATTCCAGATTTACAACAATACCTGTAACATGTTGTCAAATAATAGATCTAAATGACAAAAAAAAACATAGTCCAGTGATAAATATTTACTGAAAAAATAAAACACTTAAATAAAAAATATTGCTCTAAGTTTCAAAAGAAAAAAAAATCTGGGTTTTGTCAGTGTAGGTGTGGTGCCCTCTTGTGGTAAAGGAGGAAACTACCACGGTGACTTTTGAAATACAATTGATTTGAATTTTGCAATTATTTGAATTAGATTTTATTTGAAATAAAACAATTTATTTCCATTTCTGTAAGCCTCTTTTATTTCACATTTCACATTTCAAAAAGAAAAAGTCTGTAAGCCTCTTTTATTTCACATTTCCTTTTTTTTTTGCAGGTCATTTCAAAAAGAACTTTAAGTAATAAAGTTAGCAGTAAAAGACAATTATTCCTAATTTAAGGCCAGAGGGGAGTACAATACTGACGTCTATGCACAACTCGTTGGAGGTGTACAGCTCCACAGTTCAGTTAAGTTGATTAACTTTGAAAACACTAACGGAGCGACGCTGAGGCCGAGGTTCAGAGGTTAAACAGTGATAACAACAGTGTGATTCTGTCAGTGTGACATGAGGTGTAGTTCTGTGTAGTCGTGCTCGGCACTCACTGTCACAGCTGCGTTTATCAGCTGCCAGCTCATACCCAGGGTCACAGGCACATCTGTAGCTGCCCAGTGTGTTCACACAGCGCTGCTCACAGTGACCTTTGTCAGGACTGGAGCACTCGTCCACTTCTGGCAAAACAAAAAAAAAAGAAGAAGAACTGACAGAGTGGAGTTACCAGAGTCAAAAAACACAGAACACGTCAGCTGACGGAGAGACGAACCTTTGAAAAAGTTGGCTGCAAACCCAGCTTTGTTGACAGAGCCGTCAGACACGAACTTCAGCCACAGCTGGTTGGAGCTGCTCTTAATGTCGTCGGGTTTGTCGTAGCCGCAGAAACGGCCGAGCAGCGGACTCTTCTCTGAGCTGCCGTCTCTGACCTCCACGAAGTCGTAGGCACAGACGGTGTGCTGCTCCGTCTGTGGTCACGTTCACAAAGACAACGTCACAGGCGAAGTCATAAGTTAGCGGCAACTCGAGACATTTTGTTCTGGGTTCAGATTATGGTTTGGCGCCCTCTACAGTCATTACAACATAGTAACACTGAAAAACATAAATAATAAAAAAAATTTACAAACATGCAAATATGTAGAAAGTCCTGAGTGCTCCAACAACAGCAGAAAACATGTAGAAAGTCCTGAGTGCTCCAACAAAGAGAGAAGAAAATACACAAAATTTATAAAATTGGTTCAAGATAGGGTTCAGGGTCAGGACGGTTTTTTAAATGTATTTGTTTATTTTTTTATTTCAAAAGGTTTCAATTGATTAGTTTGTTTTATTGTTTTTTTTAGGACTTGCAGTATCACATCCATCCAACAGGTGGCCTACAATAAGAGGTCACACAATCACATGCATGAGTATCAGGATCATACTGGCTGAAACATGAGTAAAGACCCCCAAGGTGTCTGGCGCCCCCTGCTGTGTGTGATTAGATCTGACTTCTTATCAAGTGACTAGTTATTTTGTCAAGAAAAAAAAAGTTTTTACCTCAAAGGACTGAAACGAGAGTCCAACATTAAAGCCCTCCTCCACCGTGATTCTCCACACGCAGGCCTTGTTGGACTGGTAGTCATCAGGATAGTTGGGGGACTGGATTAGGCCGCTGTCCTGCTTCACCTCGCCGCCACAGATGGCTTCACAGAAGGAGGGTGAAGATGTTAAAATGACCGTTTGGTTTCAGGGAGAGACGGTCCAATCAGAACCAGAGCCTGTACCTTCATACACAGCCGAGAAGCCTTTGCCCACCCAGCTGCTGCTGCTCCTGAACTCAATCCACAGTCGACTGTCGGTGGAGACGATTGGTTCTGGAAGTTTGTCTCCACAAAAACGACCTGAAAGTTTGGGAACGACGTGTATGAGACGAGTGGAGAGCGTGACAATTCTCATTGGTTGAAATAAAAAATGAATCGTACATCAAGGTGTAAGGATGTGTTAGCTCAAAAAGTCACTGGTCAGACCATGACACTACACACTCTAGTCCAGTAGGTGGCAGTATGCTCCTAAAAACGTTGGTTGTGACCCACTATCAAACCCAGACGTCAGGTCCTACGTAGGCTGAGAGACGTTCAGGTGTTGGAACAGAACGTGGGAAGAACTTGTTCCACAGACACCAACAGTGTTCTCCAGTGGAACTCTTTCCACTTCCTGTTTTTTCTCTTCTTCTTCTTCTGTTGTTGTTTCATATATTGACAGGTAACCAGGTCAACCAGAACAGACCAGTTTGACCAGTTTAACCAGAGCAGATCAGTGGTGATGGTCCAGTGTTTCTGGACAGAAATGGGACTCTGTTATTGAAGAGAACAATGTCAGTGGATGAGGTCCACAGACCATGTCAGTGGATGAGGTCCACAGACCATGTCAGTTGATGATGTGATTTTACACAGTTCTGACACAGAAAGGATCAGTGGATTTGGTCACAGTTTGTCTGGAGTTCATTCTGTTTCAAACGATGCTAAAATTGTATTATGAAGAAAAAAATCGCAAATCCTATTGTATCGTATCGTGAGTGTACCGTTATGTCCCTAGCAGTCGATGACAACACTTGGTAAAGGTGCAGATAATCAGTTGAGTGTCAGATTTTTTGATTTTTTTTTTTTAATACCTTTCAGTGGAGCTTTCCTCCAAAACCCGTCTCGGACCTCGACGTGGTCGTACCAACAGAGGTGACTCCTGAAGAGGTCCATGGCAGTGAAATTCAAAACAATCTGCGGAAAAAGAAAATGTGAAACAGACAAAGTACAGATTTTTGGACCTACTATTAACTTATACTGTAATATTTTCAAGAAAGGTTCACAGATAATCAAAAAGTTCTAGTTATGACCTGGTGAGAAAAATAATCCAAAACCTTGAAACCTCCACAAACATGGGTGGTATTTTGAACTGGAGGAGCTTCAGTGAAACTAAAACTTTCCCACAGTGTGGTTAAATAACAGCAAGTCAACTGACTGTGACAAATGTATGAATATGACAAACACATTCATTTTACAGCTCTAATTTCATCACATGTGGTATTGACTTTTTGTCCAGGAACCGGAACTTAAACTGTTTTAAATTTCAGCTTCGTGGGTGATTTAGTTTGTTGATTTAGACTTTTTTCTGTCCTCACCTTCTCTCCAGGAGTAACAGAAATCCTCCAGACACAGTGAGCGTATGCTGAGTAGCCGTTGGGGAAACCAGGAGAAGAAAAGTTTCCAGAACTCTCCTGCAGACTGTCGCCGCACTCTGTGGGAGACAAACCAACAACTCAGGATGGTTGTGATCACAGAGTCTAACGTTCTACATCTGAGTCTCGTCTCTTACTGGGACATTTGTAGAGTTTTCGGGCCTGTGCAATGTCGCCTTTGCTCAACATGGTCCTCTGTCCGATCGGTGGCCTCACGCCGTCGACCTCGTACCGGGGCAGGATTGTGTCTAAGAAGATTCCTCTGCGTGAGACAAGTCACAAACTCAAGCAATACCCCCTCAAAAAAAAAGGCAAGGTCATTTTTACTAAACACAAAACTCGAAGCATTCAAACTGCAACCACAGCACCACCTGCAGGAAAAGGCTGGTCATTAATGTTGTTCAAAAAGCTAATTGTAACTTTTTAACTTTTTATTTATTATTCTTGGCTGTGGAACGGACTCTTCTTCAGTTCCCATGGGGACAAATCCACAAATGAGTGGCACGTTTGAACAGCGGCCGTGAACGGGGCCCTCTGCTGGTGCCAGCTGTACGTCAGAGCAAAAGGCCACTGAAGTCCAAACTGCCCGGCTTTTATTTGGCTTGGCCTGCCTCCACCAGAGTGTAGCAACAGGGCAACAACAACAACAACATGGACGGGGCGAGAAAAAGGAGGCCAGTGCGAAACACTTTCTGTGACAAACAAGCAGCAAAGCTTAGAGGTTTTAATGGCTTGTTTAGAGCTTGTTCAGTGAATGTGAATAAAAGACAAACCCAGCAGGTCAGCTTTCACCATAACACAGCGTGAAACCAGTGGCTGAGTGGGTGGTTCAGTCGGAGTGTTGGCCGTGGTCGTCGTCGTCGGTCAGTGTGGACGTCTGAAACGTCTGTTCATTAAATACTAACAACGGCATCAACGACAGCCAGGATGTCTACGTGAGGTTCCACGTGGACCCCGTCAGAAATGGGCCAAATGATGATACCGTAATGTCCAAACTATAAGCCGCAACTTTTTGAGCTTTGAATTCCTCGTACGATTTCTCTTTGACTCTGGAAAAAAACACATTTACTGCAATGACGACGTCCTGTTAAGTTTAATATTTAAATATTGTTAGAAAATATATATGTAATGTAATGTACTGCAGTGTACTTTCAGAATCTCTTGAGAACAAATAAAATATAAATATACAATAATATATAAAATATTGAAATAATTAAACAAAAATGTAATGAATAATCATATTATAAACTATAAATAGTAGGTCATTGTCATATATATCCCACTAAATATATCTATATCTATATATGTATCTATATATAGATATAGATACATATATATCTACTGGATAGATATGTAGATAACATCACATGTTTTTGATCTCCGTCTGTGTCTCCAGATTCTAAAGTGACCTTTTTATCCCCCCTTGTGGCCCAGATGTGAACTGGTTGTTAATGAAGCCAAAATGATATACAGTAGGTAGAAATTAGGGTGTAAGAAAATGTCTTCTTTCTCTGACAAATATATATTTCTATACATTTGACATAATTAAGTGTTAACACATTCTTCTACCTGGAAAACGTGTTCCTGGCGTAATGCATGATGCTGCCGAAGTCGTACGTTTCTCCAAGAGAGTCCACCTCGCCCGGCTCCATCTTCAGGAAGTTATACTCCTGTCCTGTTCAGATTCATAAACCGACTTCAACTGAATCCAAGGCTGAACCTCCGCGGCGTGAACCACCGGTGGCTCAGAGCTGTTACCTGGTTGGATGTTGTCTCTGATGATCACCACGTGTTCGTCGCGGTCAGGACGCGTGTGTTCGTGCCAGAAGCCGATGACGTGGCCCAGTTCGTGCACGACGATGCCAAACTTATCGCAGTTTTTTCCTATGGAGATGGCCTGGGGGCCTCGACCTCTCCTGCCCACATAGGAACAACACCTGCAGGGGGCGACACTGTTCAGCAACACATTCTGGAGCAGTAAATATAGGTTTACTAATTATTTGTAGGAATTTTACATAATATATTTATATATAATAAAAATATAATAAAAAGATGAATTTGTTTCTAACTATAACCAAATATCTGGGTTCTCAATATTTTTTTCTCAATATTTTATTATTTATATATTTATTTCTAATGTTCCTCCATTAAAGCAAATTTTATATATATTTATTAATTTGCATAACAATGAGGTAATTCTGATTTATGATGCACTTTTTTGATCTTAAGTCTAAATTTTTTTTCACCATTAAAATCAGGAAACAAGACCAATTATTTCATGTCCTCGTGTCCATATTATGCAGTGACTACATTTTCAATTTTTTATTTTATAGTTCTATAAAAGCTTTGATTGTTATCTATATAATTCTGGCCAGTTTAGTTTAAACTGTAACCATGTTGTCATGAAGTTGGCGGCACACAGATATGGATTTATTTTAAAAAACTAATTGAAAAAACCCCAAAAACTCACCCACACGGCCTGTAGGTGAAAACAATGTAGCTTTCTTCAGTCGTCCTCTCGGTGAAAGTCACACACGTGTGTTTCTCCCAGTGACGCATGGCTTGTCGGAAAATGGCTCGTTGACTGCCTGAAAGGAAAATCTGAATTTGAGTCGCAGAGTTTCAGGAGGTCAGAACCAACAGGTGGTACTGAGGACGTTAGAGCTGCGCAGCGCAGCAAGAACAGATGATAGAAGGTGTAATTCCAGGGCTCACCACTAAAATTCCCACTGATGGCGTACGGTATGATGCCATCGGGCCAGACGCGCTCACGTCTAGCGGTGGCCGCTCTCCTCAGACGCTGGAGGATCCTGACGGGAGCTCTTCTTCTCCTGATCCTCTCATCTGATGTCGAACCGTTAACTGTCAGAATGGATTGATTAGTAATGTCTTAATGTAAAAATAAGACAGTTCTGATTATTAGATGATTTAATCCGACTCTCTCCATCTCTGACACCTGAGTCTGTTCTGTTGCTCTGGACTCTCTGCTGGTCATCCTCCGTGGTGTGGGCCTCTCTGAACATGAGGAGATCTTCTTCATCCAGAGCAATGTCTCCTAAAAAGGCAACTAGCAAAAACAGGTGAACATTTAAGTTAAAGAAGGGGATCATCAATATACAGTAAAATATATTTATATTATATATTACAGTACTGTCCAGTTTTCTTAAAAATATTTTTATCGCTATTTGTCAATGTGTGTTGGTGCTTTGGTGAAAATATAGATATATAATATATAGAGCCAAAAAAATGTGGATGCACTTTGAAAACTTGACATAATCCGTTGGTTGAGAGGATCTACACTGCCTATGGTGAACACCAGGGGTCACCATCTTTATTTGTCGGAGTCCCAGACACTCAAATTGAAGAAGAAAAATAACTTTTTTGTCTATCAATATTATTTCTTGTTTATTTTAGAATCCAGGCATGGACCTCATTGGCCGGTCCGCTGGGCTGGATTCAGCCTGCGGGCTACCAGATGAGGACCACTGGTATACACCTTGATTAAATGCTGGTATATACTGTACTACAACTAAATACTAGTATACACGTAACATAAAGAACATATAAAATAAATAAAATAATATAGTAAATAAAATAATAAATATAAACATCTGTCAAATACCAAACCAGCTTCACATCAGTTAAAAGTTTCTCTGTTAAATAAACAGCTTCACTACAGCAGGAGACGCTGACCTTAACTAAGATATGACTGTTTTTAATAACGCTGTGGTTTAATGTACTCTACACTGTCCACAGCACTGACACACGGACCTGTCCAGCTGCTCTGTCCGATGTGTAGTGAATATAAAACAGGACAGTGAATGTGTTGCTGGGCTTTGTGACACAAACAATGCAGCGACTACATACTGTACAAATCAGCAAATCACACAAAGAGCGTCTTTTTATAAACACAGCCGGTCCTGCCTTTGTAGAACCTGACGTTCTTTGTTGTCAAAGTGGAACATTTTTAATTTGTACAATAGACTCTCTACTGAAGGGACCGGGTCTGAGTTTTACCACACGGCAAACTGTATTTATTATTGTTTTTTAGTAGGGAACGCAATAATATGAAAAAATGACTTTTTACTGTATGAATGGAAAAAACAACTGCTCAAAAGAGTGATAAATAAAAAAAGCCTACTTGGCTACAGGCTAATGTCTGTGTCTGATGTAAAAAGGACACTTGACTCTTAGTCTGTCCTCACAGATGTGACAAAAGCCCAAATATTTGCTTGAATAACTATGTTCATTCAGAAAAAGAAATATTTAACTGCTGTTATTTCACTTTCATGTTCCAGTAATATACAGAATTATAATTTGTGATATTTAGGAAATGGAGCTTTAATCTTGATTAATTATAATCACAATTAATGATGAGTAATTCCAGCTACCTCGTGTCTATTCGAATCATAATTGTACACGGCCGTAAAAACAAACAAAAAAACAAGTGTTTTTTTTTTTTGCCACCTTCCTTTTAACTTTATGTAGCATTTTAAA